AATGTTAATGTCACACTTCTAAAAATACGTACTATTCTCCTTTCTGGTCAGCCTCAGGTATGTAATATGTATTTGAACTCTATGTACCTTTTTAAATTAGATCTGATGCTAATCAAAATGGCTTAGTGCACTTTCAGTAAATGTGTCTGTGGTTTGTTTTTCTCCATTTTTTTTAGCTATATCTTTCAGTACGAAATATAATTATGAAGGTTATATCTTTCAGTATGACATAATTATGAAGGTCAAATCATTAAACTTTGTATTCATATCAATTCACATTAATTGACTATTGGACATGGCATATTTTGCAAAATCTGTGTTTGGGTTATTATTATTTTTTTTTCCTGTTATCTCTGCTCAACTTTGTATTTTTAGCTAAGAGGTTGGGGAGTGATATTTGTGGTCGTGAACTTTCTGTACTTGCCATTCTCCCTCCCTTATTCACTTCATATTTGTTGATAACCTGCTGCTTGCGCTCTTTTTTTAGGAAACACAGTACTTGTTTGCATTTCTAGTGGCACCAGAGAGCTTAAAGATAACAGCAGTAGCTTAGTGTACAAACCTCCCACCTGAAGGGGACTCTTTTAAGTTTTATGTACAACGGCACATATCCTTGTCTCTGCCACTAAGAGATCTTTTTCTAGTAAAAAATTTATTAATTTTGCAACAATTCAATATCGCTAAACTTAGGGAGTGAATCAGAGGTTTCATGAATATTATGCCGATAGATTCATCATGAATAGATTAAGGATTAAAGAAGATTCTTTTCGTAGGGGCTCAGTGAGAGAAGGCTTATTATTCCTTTGTATAGATTTGTTTACTATGTGATAGTTATTTATTTATTTATTTATTTTGTGTAGACACGATTGCTTCTTTTGGATATTGCTTAGCATCCATCTTTATATAAATGTTCATTGATGCCTTCCTTCCAGATTACCAATGAAGTCGCACTAGTTTTGTTATCGTCTGCAACGATCCTGTTTATCGTTCCTTTTAAATACATTCTTTCCTTCTTTATATTTGATCTGTTCACTCGTGAACTTGAATTCCGGAAGGAAATGGTATTAAGGTTCAGAAAACTTCTGAAAGATCGCTGGCAAACTGTGCCTGCGGCTCCAGTGACAGTATTACCCTTTGAGAATGATCAAAACAAGGAAACCAAAGAAGAAGAGTTGCAAGAGAAATCAGAGTGAAGGTAATTCGTCTAATTCCTCAATGCATATCCTATTTTTCCCTTTCTCCCCCAATTTTGTTTTATCCCTATGTCATCAAACCTGAAAATTGTTGGTATTGACTCTTCAATTCTTCTGGTTCACATTGACGTGGCTCTTGTTAACTTCCTTGGCTTGATGAAAAAAAATTGGTCTTGCCCTTGTAAAAAGTGCCTCTATTTCATTCTTCAACCCTGATATACTACAAGGTAGCTGCTAAGCATGCTGAGTGCAATGATTTGGTCGCTAAAATAAAATAATAAACATGGTTATACATGCTTTCTGGTGTAAAGTTGGTCAATGATGAACTATAAACTTGTGTTGATTTGGCTAGCTTTTCGTGCATCCGTTGAGAACTTGGAACTTTTGATTCTAACCCTATTTTGTAAAGTTAAGCTATAGTTCATATTTTGCTTTTTGACCAAAGAGATTATCTCGATGAACAATCAAATAGATGCTCATTATGCAGTTGGATATACTGGAGCAGATGATTATGCTATGCTGGTGGATCATTATAAGCATTACTATAAACTGCAGGACAAACTTTCTCAAAAGTTGTGGAATAGTTTGCTGTCTCCTTACTTGCTCATAGAGAAGTACTCATCAGTCTTGGACTTAATTACAACTTACAATGCATACACTTCGGCAGGAAATTGATGTTTTCTATCCTGCTCAACATCAAGCTCTGATGGGAAATCAACTCTCCATCCCAACCAGTTGTGCCGCGTTTTGCTTCCTATTATGTGAGGCAATGGCCATTGGTAAGCTGAAACCCTGACGAGGCTGATATTCATTGAAGTCTGGTGTTCCCAAAGTGAACCTGCCAATATGCTGGTTTTACTCAGGTCCCTAGCATATGGGGAAAATGCCACAGATTCCATTACCAGTGGTGTCCAACAAACAGCTTGCTCGACCTCGAACCTCGGTGGCCCCATGCTGGTCTAGCAGTGAAAACTGGCAATTGTCATGGTTCCAGTACAAACTTGGACTTCTAACTTTTAACTTCATTATTCCTGGGCATAAGGTCTCTATGCAGTAGCCTACGATTGTGAAATTGCTGCATTCTGAGAGCCGTGCACCTGATTAGCATAACACCAAGTTTTTAGGACACTTGTTTCATATTGTGACAGCTTGTAAATTTTGTATATAAAATTTCCGGGACGGTAATGAAAAAGAAGCGAATGTTAAGAGATCATTACATGATTGTGAATATGTGATAGCTGTAAGCTGTTTTTGTTGGCTTCATATCCTTTTCCAGTGGTGATGCATGGTAGTGGAAAGAAGTCTTAGTGGACTTATGATGAGTTCATAGAAGTCCATGCACGGCCCATGATCCACCGGTGTTCCTCTCGTATCGTGTTAGGCTAGTCGAGCCATTTCCGTGCCATGCTTATCGGCCTCATGCCAACCTGGCCATGTCCATCTCTAATTGTTGTCTGCAAATTAATTACTACGGAGTATCACAATTTCACAAACTATTATCTGCAAATTAATTACCATCTCAAACTACTATCCTTTATCCTTAGTCATAGGGAGTAAGTGTAAGACAAATACTCCGTATAATCAAAATACTTCCTCCAATTAAAAAGTAACGTTTTTTTTTTTTTTTTGGAAGACAATTAGAAAGTCAAACTAATTGTAACATATAAGGTGTAATGGTAATTTATAGCTAATGGAAAAAAAAAAAAAAAAAAAAAAAAAAAAAAAAAAAAGTAGAATCATATGAAATCTTAATAAATTGGTATCAATACACAAGTACTTCCGTATATCTTAAAATTATCCACTTTATTATTAAATTCAATATTGATAATCAGTGACATTAATGGCTAAACCTTTTCGTTGACAATTATAAGCTATACGAATTAACTTGTATTTATTCGCTACAGTTTTTTTTACTTAAGGTGTTTGTTTGTTTGAGGTTGCTTAGTTACAAACTAGGATACACAGACACTTCACGAACAGGCGTGTTCGTGTCGAACGCAACGCGACAGTATGTCTTGAACTAGTCAAAAAACCATATTCAGTTTTTTTTTATTGATTTATTTATATATATATATATATATATATATGTATATATATATACGTACATATACATATACGTACATATACATATACATATATATATATATATATATATATATATATATATATATATATATATATATATATATATATATATATATATATATATATATATATTCGGGCACTTCAGCACGGATCGTATTCTACTATGACAACCCTTTTTTTGACATGCCACCTCATCTATTTTTTTTTTTTGGATTGTCAAAGTAAAGTAAGAGAAATAATGTAAGAGTTACTAATGTGGGTGTGTTCATAACTGATTGTTAACTAATAGAGTTTTACGATATTGTTAAGTACGTAAATGTCAACTAAATTAGTTGGTTAAAGTTTTGGGGTGTTACCCAAGACTTGAGATCAAATCTCATCTACATCATTCCCATAACCAATTAGGATGGTGACATTTATATTTATATTTAAAAAATTAATTCCCAAACCCCCCTATTTTTCGTTTTTGAGAGAGGGTTGTACCTCCAGTTTATTTAACCATTGTACTAGAAAATACAAATTAGCCATTTGAGGGTGGTAGAAGTTTGTGAGTCAAGATGAAGTGAATGTCGACATTCATCTAACTAGTTCATATATGGGATTGGGAGCATTTTCGAGAAACCACCAGCGGGAGCTTGTATGGGCGGCGGTTAGACGGGTTGAGAGTGTATGGGAGGTGGAGTATGCTGAGGCAGTTGCGGCACGTTTTGGGCTTTCAGTGGCTAGGCGACTAGGTGTGACGCGAATATGGTTGGAAGGTGACTCTTCTTCAGTGTGTGAGGCAATCAACAATGGCACCAGAGGTCGATCATCAATTGCCAATTGGGTTATTAATTTTATGATGATATCAACATATTATCATAGTTTATTATGCTTTTATTTCTTCACATGTTCCGAGGATAGGTAACATGGTAATCCACCTTGTGACAAAATGGGATACTCGTGGTTGTTCAGAGTTTGTCTGTATGGGTTTGAGCCCGCAAAATCTTGTAATTTTAACAGATTCTGATTTATAATAAAATGCATATCTTACGTTTCCTCAAAAGAAGAATACATTGTGTATTTCATGTCAATTATTTCAAAATAGTACTCCGTAATATATATTTGAAAATGGAGGAGAGTATAAGTTTATAAACAATTGTTATTTATTAAATGACAAACTTCTAATTAAATGACATAATTTTGCAATATTGATAAGTAAAATCACAAACACTACTACACTAGTAATGTTAGCGGTTAATGATATTAGCAATTTTACACCAAAATATTAAAAGTTAGACAATTACAAACAAAATATGTTTAAGAGTATGCTCTGTAGTAATCACCTTTATTCATTTCTTTTAGATCTAACAAATTCAGTTAAGTTCATATAAGATAAATTCAAGAAAAATAAGTTTTAATGCAGGTTATCCAAGTTTAGCAACAACTAAAATAATTTTTAATAAGGTCTAATAAGGCTCGTTATCTTCACCAAAAAAGTTGTCAGTAATAATAATTTTTAATCAGTAACAATCATTTCAGTTTAACAAAAATAATTTCATAAAACTAATTCTAGTTTTGTAAAAATAAGGTGAAAGAACTGGGCCTAAGGGTCTGTTCTATTTACCCTATTTTCACTTATTTCAGGTGTAATAAGTTCAGATAAGTTCACTTCTGGAAAAATAAGTTCAAATAATGATTAGCGTATAAATTACAATTAAAATAAGTTTTGATAAGGTCTAATAATTTCAGATAAGTTCAGATAAATTTAAATAAGTTCAGGTAAGTGAAAATCAAGTGAATAAAACACACCTAAATTCCAATAAATAATAATCAGATAAATAGAACGCATCACTGTAATCAGATAAATAGAACTATTAAGAATTTTAACATAGAAAACGCTATGCAACTCCCAACCAAAAAAAAAAAAAAAAAAAAAAAAATCCGCAAAACCGCTTTGTGATTGACGTTTTTCAGTTTTCAGACACTGAAGATCCAATCCCCTTTTCTTCTTAAGCACTTTCACCCTCCTCAGAAAGACGACCTTGTCAAATTCGTTGACTCTTAACCCCTTTTGTTTTGTAATTTTTTCTCTCTCATCTAATTCTTTTACCATCTTATCACTTTTGTGTTTCTTAGTCCCATTTTGATCCATCTCACATTGTCATTTTGGGGTTTCATCACTTCAATGTAATTCTTTCATGGGGTAAGTTAACTTCACAATGGGTTGATATTTGGTGCATAAGAAGCAAATGGGTTGAACTTTTTTTAGGTAATTTGCTTGTATTCGTTCTGGGTTTTGTGAATTTTGATGAATTTTTTCTTCTTCTGGGTTTTCTGAAATTTGATGATTTTTATTCTGGATTTCTGTATTTTGATATTTCTTTCTGAGTGTTGATAACGGCTTGTAATGTGTCTCTAGGATTTCTTGATTAATTGACATTTTCTTGATTGTGATTGATTTAACTGTTGGATGGAATTGTATTAATTGTTTGATTTAATTATTGGTTGTTACTTGCTAATGCAATTTCTTGAAATGGAAACCTGTAACTTTTTTTTTTTTATTTATTTTTTTTTTTTTAATGATTGTTAAGCTCTTTTGGGGCAAGGTATTTAATTTATATTCCCAAAATAAGAAATGCCGTTAGATACTTTTTATATCTTGTGATTATGGTTAGCTTGTGTTTTCATTCTTTGTATCTCATCTATTTAGCTGTCTGAGTAACATTTTAAGTTGAGTGTCTGGTGTAATGTGAGTTGATTGTGACATCATTACAATTACTTCTTTGAACTGATAATTGTTTTTAGTGTTCTGTTAGATGCTTTTATACTTGTATATAGTGTTGTGGCTGATTGATCAAATGTAGGTGTTTGTTTTTGTTATGGTTAAAAAGAAGGTGAAAACCATTCAAGAGTATTGATCATTGTATTTTTGGTTCCAGGCTGTAAAATGCATAGGCTTTCTTTGGATGTGGGGGTCACTGGTTATTATCGTTGAGAGAGATCTGGATACGTCGAATGTAAGCGTGAGTTATTTCAATCACAATAAGTCTGGGTAGTAGTTGCAAGTTTGGTTTGGAAGGTAACAAGACTTGGCAAGTAATTTTAGATTTTTCATAGTTGTGTGAATTATGCAAGAAAATAAGTTTCCAAAGCGGTATTTGATTGTGCTTTTGACATTCATATGTACGTCTGTCTGCTACATTGAGCGGGTGGGCTTCTCAATTGCTTATACAATTGCTGCTGATGCTGCTGGTGTTAATCAATCAAGTAAAGGCACAATACTTTCCACTTTCTACTATGGTTATGCCTTATCACAAGTGCCAGGAGGGTGGGCAGCCCAGAAAATTGGTGGCAGACGTGTGCTGCTGCTTTCATTTGTGTTATGGTCACTGACCTGTGCTTTAGTCCCGCTGGATCCCAACCGGGTTTTCATGTTGGTTGTTGCACGCCTTCTTGTTGGTGTAGCTCAAGGATTTATCTTTCCCTCGATTCACACGGTTTTGGCACAGTGGGTTCCTCCTCATGAAAGATCTAGATCTGTTTCTCTTACCACATCTGGGATGTACCTAGGTGCTGCTGCAGGAATGCTTCTGCTTCCAAGCCTGGTGAAGTTTAAGGGTCCTCAATCTGTCTTTGTAGCTGAAGCAGCACTAGGAGCCATTTGGTCTGTGTTGTGGTTTAAATATGCATCTGACCCTCCTCGATCTGAGCATCCCAAAGCTGCTGCTGCTGGTTTTGGGGAAAATTTATTACCTGTTAAAGGTAATCATAAGTTTAAAGTGGAGAATGGAGGTAGCTCAGCTAAAAATTTAAACATACCTTGGAAGAGAATTTTTGTCAGCTTACCAGTCTGGGCTATTGTGGTCAACAACTTTACTTTTCATTATGCCTTGTATGTACTTATGAATTGGCTACCAACATATTTTGAGCAAGGCCTACAGCTTAGTCTCCAAGATATGGGTTCTTCTAAAATGATGCCGTACCTCAACATGTTTTTATTCTCAAATATTGGCGGGGTGGTGGCTGATCATCTTATCACCAGGAAGCTTATGTCTATAACTAAGACTAGGAAGTTCTTGAATACCCTAGGATTTATCGTGGCTTCTCTGGCACTGATGGCACTGCCCGTATTTAGAACTGCTGGCGGGGCTGTGTTCTGTTCTTCTGTGGCACTCGGCTTCTTGGCTCTTGGAAGAGCTGGGTTTGCCGTGAATCACATGGATATAGCTCCAAGATATGCTGGAATTGTTATGGGAGTTTCTAACACAGCAGGTACACTAGCTGGTATTGTTGGTGTTGAGCTTACAGGCCAGCTTCTTGAAGCAGCTAAAGGTGCTGATTATGATATCTCTAGCCCAGAAAGCTGGAGATTGGTATTTGTTATTCCTGGTTTTCTGTGTATTTTAAGTTCAGTGGTGTTCGTGATTTTTTCAACTGGGGAAAGAATTTTCGACTGAGTGAGGCTTCCTACAGTTGATGAATAGGTGCCCATTCATACCCTATGTCACTAAATTTTTTCAACATTTATTGGGTATAAAACCTTGATATCTTTCATCATTGCATTGTTATGCTAACAATTTTGAAATTCTGGATTTAGTCAAGCGACCTTTTGATCTGTAGCTCCTCCAGAATGTATCCAAAGTGCTATATGTGTGCTTTGGTGGAAAATTACTTTTTAGTTGGACTTCACTGCTTACTTGATGCGATGGTTTCTTGGCGCAAGAGATTCCGGAGATTGGCAATCTATCTTACAAAGCTTACTAATGTTGACTACTTGATTTGCGAGTAGTCTTCACACAATGTTTGGTTTGTGCTGTGTTGTCGGCATACACAAGTAGCTGATCTCATTATGTCCCTTGCTCGTGTAGAGGTTTAATGAGGCCAGAGGTTTTATACTTTTGTTGGGTTTTTCTTGTTACATTGAACTTAAGAAATTAGGTTTTGGTGTTGTGCTGAGAACGTTATCCCCGGAATTCTAACAGAAAATTGTCTCGTAGTCATAAACATATTCTTCATGTAACGCAATAAGGTCTTCTTTTGCTTTTATCATTTGGCTGGTATATTATAGCTGTTGTGCCATCTCTAATAAAGAGAGTCGCAAATGTAATTGTTCAGCTTCATAAGAAAGATGTAGGAGGAATTTAGCATAGTGTATTTTTAAAATTTCTGTTACTGGTATAAACAATTCATCTTTGTAATATTTTCGTGTACCAATGAGACATCTACTTGTATTCTGACTGTCTGAAACACTGTATCAGTGTCTTCTTTCTTGTGTCAACTACTATTTTGTTTATTAAAGTATTCAAAGATTTTTTTAAATATGACACTTCAATGCCCTGCATACAAATGCTGTTTTATACTTTCATGTCAAAAAATTTGGTGTTTATTGTTTTGTCTGAGCATGTTGGAACAAGATTTTGTCTAGAAGTCAGACATCTTCACATAATTTTCAGAGTCAGGGGAAGGGTTTATTGATGATGTCATGACGATATAATTTCATCATTTTATTCTTGAGATTTATAGCTTTACAGACATGCCTGATGTGTTGCAAATATTCTTATTTATACTCTTGATCATTGGGAGAGCATGTACCCTGCAATAGTTGGACAATTTTGGTAACAGAGTGTCTTCCAGAGCACAACCAATGGAGCTTTAGCCGATACTATCTATGGTACTCACATATTATGTCTGAACTGTGAAGCACGGAGTATAGAATCAGCTCAGAACAGCACCAGGTAAGAATTATCTTTATATAGAATATTTTCCATGTTTGCTATTTCATCCATTTAGTTTAGGAACTTGACAAACTAGGACAGTAACTCAAAATTTCTAACTTCAAGTTTATAGCTCAAAATAAATACTGAATTCAGTAGCTAATTTTGGAAGTATGTCAGATATATCCAATTCTCCAATTAGTTTAGATTTTATCTATGGACTATGGCATTTATATCCTTAGAAAAAATTTCAGATTTATCTAAGATATTTAGAGGACCTTTCTTTACAATTTTAGCTAAGAATGTACTTGGATTTCCACTTATCTTAGGGATCCTTTACTCTGTTGCGCTGCCAAGTCGATGCATAATTGCTGAGTCTGTCAAGAATTCTGTAGCCAATATTCAATAATTTGTCTTATTTGTCAAAAGTATGTAATACTTTGTGTAAGCTCCTACGTTGCTTTGGACCAAATTTTTATCGAAAATTTATGGGGCCTTCAGTAACTTGACTAACGTCATAGAGGCTGATAATTGCCATATTTATTTAGGTCTATTTGCATTTTTAGTCCCACTTAGAACTTTAAGGTGATGCAGTGACTATTATATTTTATTGCTTCTACTATTTGAAAGTTTTTGCTGACAAGTCATAACATAGACATTGCAGGTTTGCCTGATTTTGTGACTCTTACATGGTTTAATCTATGACGATCCACCTGTTTCTGTTATATGGGATCTTGAATTATGGTTACTATGAATTTCCTTATGTTACTCCAATAGTCTGACGTGATGGAACAGTAGGCTAAGATTGTACGTTGCCCCGGGTCTATATCCTGAATATCTGATTACAACTGGAAGCTAAGCCTATTACTGAAACCTGTCTATGCTTAATGGAGACAGTTTTCACTCTCAATGGGAATGAGCTAATCTTAATACTACTGAGATACATGTCAACATTAATTGGATTATGCTGAAAGCGGTTTAATTGGTAGACTACAAAGTTTATACTATTGTCCTGCTGAAGCAATTTTATACTAGAAGATTTTTGTGCTAACCATATGAAAGATGTTTGCAAGATTAAAGAAAACTGTAGAAGTTTCTGGTCTTTAGTATCGTGCCTCGGTGCCTGTGTACGTGTCCAAAGATGAGGCTATGATTATATGGATTTCCCAAACCCTATAGACACTGGTGATTGATATTGTTGGCTTTGTTGCTGTGTTTTCATAATCTTATTATATGCAGCCGAAATGTTATGCTATTGGAAAACTTAAGCTTTATTGTTCGTCTGTTGACAAAAATTAAATGCACACACTTACGAAGTAGTTAATAATTTTGATAACTCATGATCTAGTAAATTACACCTTACATTTCAGGGCTTCAGTAAATACAAAGTTGCATCAACTTCATAGCTCAAAGTTCACTGCCCATCACTGCAAAGCATACATTTGTTCACACTATTTCTCATTAAGTTACTACATCCTATCAGTTTTCACTTTCCAGGAACGAAGTTGGTGGCAAAAGCCCAAGCATTGTTAGCGACAGGGTCAGCAAGGTGGTCAGAGAGGTTCTCAATGGGACCCTTTCCAGTAACAATAGCCTGTACGAAGAACCCGAACATGGAGAACATAGCCAATCTCCCGTTCTTGAGCTCCTTTACCTTCAGCTCAGCAAAGGCCTCTGGATCGTCTGCCAGACCAAGTGGGTCAAAAGCTCCACCTGGGTAAACCTTGTCGAGCCCTTCACCCAATGGTCCACCACCAACACGGTAGCCTTCGATCAAACCCATGAGGACAACTTGGCTGGCCCAGATAGCGAGGATGCTTTGGGCATGGATCAAGTTCGGGTTTCCTAAGTAGTCGAGTCCACCTTCCTGGAAGATTTGGGATCCAGCCTTAAACCACACGGCTTCACCAAATTTGACACCGTTCTTGGACAGGATTTCAGGGAATACACAGCCCAGGGCACCAAGCATAGCCCACCTAGAGTGGATCACCTCGAGCTCACGGTTCCTGGCGAAGGTTTCGGGGTCTGCTGAGAGTCCAGCAGTGTCCCAGCCGTAGTCACCAGGGAATTCACCAGTTAAGTATGATGGAGTCTGCTCTGAAAAGGGGCCCAAATACTTGGGACGGTCAGGACCGTACCTGCATTTTATTTCCAGATGTTATTAAGCTTACAACAATCACATAGTTCTGTTTCAATAAATTATGTAGCTCATTAATTTTTTTTCTCTCTTTATCAGTGACAAGTATTAATAGAAAATATAAGAGAATTAGTTGCAAACTGTATTTTAGTTATATTGTCATCTAAAGTCTTGATTATAGTTGATAACTTGATATTACATATGTGATTGCTAGTATTGGTTCATCTATTCAATTAAAACCTTAAACATTATAGAAAAATTAATTTCTACTTTTGAATGAGAAAGTTAACATGACTAGTTTAGTATGACTAGCTTTCTCTTAAATCTTACAGAGTATTCCCTCCGTTTCTAAATAAGTGTGTCGCTTATTTATTGAATCTGAGTAGCTCGGAAGAAAGATTAAGAGTTACTTACCATATGCTTTGTGGGGCGCTCTTGACGGTACGACGCATAGAAAACCGGCCTCCGTTGCCACCGACCTTGCGAGCAAGCTCATTTTGTTGCTTCAAGATGGTCTGCCCAGCAAATGCAGATTGTTGGATAGTTGAGGTAGCCATAGTTAGTTTATCTGTTATTCTACTTTGCTAGTGTTGTGTTTTTATGAGTTGGTGGTTACTATAAACTGATTGTATTATATATACTATTGAGGTTTGTGGCTTATGATGTGGATGAGGAAATTTACACATCACCATCTTCCTATTGGCTATCATCTTAATGTAAGGATTTTCATGCTGATTTTTTGTGTGATAAGAGAGGCTGTTTTTCTGCCATCTAAGATTGTAAGATTTTGTTCTTGGATATTATTTTGTAGAATAATGTACACCACAAACTTTGTAGACAACCTGTTGTTGGATTTGCTTTGTTTTTGTTTATCTCAAATTCATATCTTTATCCATAATTCTAACTTTAAAAAACACTTACTTCCTTTGTTCCCCTAATATTGTAACATGGGGGAAGATACAACATTTAAGATAAGGAGAGAAATAAAGATAGGGACTCAAGTGATGAGGAGAGAGATAAAGAGATAACATGTGCATATATGAAAATGTTGCAACATTTGTGAAACTTTCTTAAAGGTAATTGTTGCAATATTAGGGGAACAGAAGAAGTATTTCATAAAGTATTTTATACTACTTATTTTTGGATTTGACTTGATTTTTTTTTTAATGCATATTGTAGCAAGCAAATGTTATCATGCGAAATATTGTTGGATTAGCTCAAATGCTCAATGTATACTTTCATAATATGAACATTTTATGACATATACTAATAAAAAATAAAATATATTAATTGTCGAAGTTACATATTGACAAGCATTTCCGATTCAAGTGTTTTAATATGAAATAGAGGGAGAAAATTTGAACCATGGATAAATTGCCTTGCACTTATTTTTAATAGTTTATCACATATAGATGAGTAAATGACATAGAATTAAGGAAAATAAATAAACAAGTACAAATTTGGTTTGCATTGTCAGGGCAATAGCAATGGAGCAAACCTCTAAGGGGTTTGTTCACTTGCCACATCATCATCATACAAACCCCTTACCCAACAAACCTATTATCAACAATAGATAAATCTTTTCAAAGATTTATGCATGGGACCCACGATCTATAAAATTCATTAAATTCATCAAAACAAAAAATAAAGAGAACTCAACAAGTGGGCTTAACTAATACACTTGACACTTGGCAGCTTGTAAAGCATCAGCAAGCCATTACAAACCGGTTTGTAAAACAAACATCTTCCCATGAACCTTTGTTTGTCAATAAAAGGTTTGTTGACAAACCTCTAAAAAGTTGCTACAAACCCATAAAAAAAAACCTTCTATTGCTGATGCCCTCATGGCCTTACTAAACTTGTCGTTTATTTGTTTCCTTAATAGCTCGTATTGTCGATTTAGAAGATGAGAAACATTTGAGTATGAACGTTTTACCATCATATAAGACCATATTTGTGTGAGTCATTAATTAGAGGTCTACTACAACTATTATAAGGACTTAAGGAGGAATTTTTTATTCTTTTCTATGATTAATGATGTTCTATGTTGGTGTGATTGATGGTTAACTACAATACCAGAATCTTTCCCCCTTGATCTTCTTGGATGTAGGAGAGCCATAGGCATACATCAAGCCTAGTAGAGGCCTTTTGAGCAAGACTTTTGTCCTGCACCAAAGCAAATCCTTATGCATTTTGGTCTGCAAATGATGACAATATGTACTAGTACGCTTATATTCACCTAGGGTGTTACAATTTCATTTTAAGAATTACATTAAACTACACAAGAATAGATTATTGCTTGTTTGTTTTTGTGTGGCAAGATCAAGATGTGATGTTGAAATGCTTATGTTGTAATTTTAATGAAAACCTTATCAACAACTCCATCAATAACGTTTATAGAAATGTCTAGCAGGATAATGTGTATCATAAATAGTAAAATGACATTTCTTATTGAAAAATTAATGAATGAATTCACTAGACGAAAAAAGATAAAAAGGCACCGGTTCAAACCCCCCCCCCTTTGGCACCGGTTTTGAACCGTTGGGTATTTGAGGGATGCCAAATCCATGAAAATTTGGCACCGGTTCAAAACCGGTGCCAACTAAAGCATTTGGCACCGGTTAACCGGTGCCAACTAATATGGCGCGTTTTTTTTTTCAATACTATTGGCACCGGTTCTTGCTTTGAACCGGTGCCAAAAGTGTCAAAAAAAATTTTAAAAAACTTTTGGCACCGGTTCTGGTCAAAACCGGTGCCAAAAATACCCCAAAAAAATAAAAAAATAAAAAAAAAAATTGCATTTTTTTCACTTAAATTGATATAGAAACATTAACATATATATAAAGTTACATTATTTCATTAAAAAAAGGCTAAAATATTACAATTTTCGTCCAAAAAAAAATTTGAAGTGTCATGATATAAGGTTTCTGGCTGCTGTGTGTCTTCTGTCTGCACTGGTACTGTTGTCCTGGTTCTGCACTGCTACTGCTGTTCTGCTGGTCTCATGATATCAAAGTAGACTATGCGGACTTCCATTTTAACAGAAAGACCTATTTCAAAGTCAGACGTTTAATTAATATCAAGCCATGTATATTAACCTCAAAAGTCAAGACATTGTTTAATGAAGGTGAATTAAAAAAAGATTATCTGAAAATAACAGGGAATCAAGTAGTAAGCCAAAGATATGCCTAGGGACAGATAAAATTTGTTAAAGCCCTATTGAACTTATGAAGCATAAGACGAGAAGATGATTGATAGTGTCTAATATATCGCTCTAAAAGTCATACCTTCATTGTTCGCAGGGCACTGGCATTAATGTGATGAAAAAAAGAAGTGTACTTCATATGCCTGGACTCCAAATGACAACTATAGCAATTCATTTGTTCAAATATATCCATTCCAAAAAGAGTGTGTGCTATACACGAAGGGCTGGAGCAATCCCAAGACTGTAAGCGGTTATTTACTAGTGACTCGCTGCCAGAACCGCCTGGACCTGAAATAAATGATTGATGCAGGCAAGACATATGTTTAATATCAAGAGAAATTCTGAACTAACACAAACAACTTACCCCACAGAGCTAATTCAATCAATAGTTAAAATTAGCAATGCCAATTGTTATATCACATAATGTTCCTTGTTGCCAGGCTATAAGCAATTTCAATCTTCTATGCCATCTCAGACTGGTGGATACTCTGCTCAACCCCATTTTCAAAGGATATAGAGTTCATACATGGTCTCCCATATTTTTTTGTATATTCATGTAACTAAATAATATGTTTTTTTCAATGAACTTTACTTATGAGTCTCAATGTGTATATCATACAACATTTAGATTCATAACCAGATACGAACCGGTGCTAAAGGGGGGGGGGGGTGCCTATTTCAATTTTTCTACTAGTGAAATGTTGATAGCTAGACAATGCATGTACACCAACTGTCAGTTTCTGAATAAAAAAAGTGTTTCATTCTAACCCTGGTGAGAGGTCATCATCAAATATCACTGTTTCAACATCAAATGCATGAATTGCACTCTTGATCTCAGAAACCTTGCCTGAGCCAATATATGTTCTTGGATTTGGAGCAGCAAGCCTAATTCATACAGCAGGTGTTGAAGTTATTTACCATGTAGACCAGCAGTTCTCACAAAGCAAAAATAAAGGAGAAATGTATTTGATAGAAGACATATGTAAACTATATGACAAAAACTCATAAGTCAATACACACTTGGTAAAGTAATCTGAGTTTTGTTTAACAATCTCTATCTTAACAAGTTAAAACGGAGGTACTAAAGCTTTTAATTGAATTGTAGCTGCTTTGGAGGCCATGTTCCCAGATGACACATAACATGCCTTAAGTTACAAGTGCTTTTCACTTACAAAGAATTACAACAGATACAAAATCAACTCACTGAAACCCCTTAAGCTCTAATTAAAAGAGTTACATTATCGTTTTAAGCGACACTCCCCCATTCAATTCTCCAACCCTTCCCCAACTTTCACAGTCACACACAGAGTGACAGAGATATATAACATGTTAACTGGAAGATTTAGGGCATGCACAGATAATATAAATCTCCAATTAGCTAATTGTACTGTCTTAAGTATATGCACATTGCAACTTATAGCGTAACCACATTATGCAATAGAAAAACCCACGACATACTCACTTTTGATAAGTAGAGCCAACAACCTGAAGACCTGCTGTGTCAGCTAGTTGAGCCAATTCTTTCAGAGATTCTTCTATTCCAAAAGAATCCACTTTAATACCTTTTTGCTCCACACCCACAAGATAAGCTTTTTCAGCAAGAACCTGACATTACAATATTAGGCCACTTAACTTATTCTCCCAAGAGCCTCAAGCAATGGCAGAGGGCGCATAAATAAGACAACAGTCAATCAATAACAACATAACACAAACTTAAAAATGCTTAGCAAAAAGTTGCGTATACTTTTCTGCATGATTAACATAGCAACTAGAATCACCTAAAGCATTAGAACAGTGATCCTAATATCATATGCTCAACCTCAACAGAAAGCCATATATGCATATAATATCATAATACAACATCACTGCGATTCCTCTTATGAGACTATATCTACTATCTACAATTGGGTAAACGGTAGACAAAATTTCATAAACATAATCTGTTAAGAGGTTCTATTAGAGATGGTTTTTGATGCATCCTAAATTTGATCATTACACTAATAATTAACATGAAAGAAGCGGGAAGCAAAATCGAAAGTGAAAGGAAACAAAGACAAAAAAAAAAAAAAAAAAGAAAAAATGGAGCATTAGGACAGGTGCAAACCCTTCTTAAGACAGGTCAAAAGGTGCAAACCTAAATATTAGGACAGTGAATAATAAATCAACAGGTGCAAACCCTTCTAAAGAAATTATACATGTTCCAACAGCATTAGGACAGTGAATATGTAAAAATGGAGCTAGAGCTTAGTTGATGACAGCTTTAATGATCCACAGGTGTCTACAATCCAATATCCCTTCAGAAACAGGTTTGACAGATATCTGATGAGAAAGTGTATATGTACAGAAAGTACATTGCTCTAGTTGAACTTTCCACTTTGATGGCTATCTGATGGCTGTTGTGCAGGTTGCCCTGGAAAACGGGTACACTCAGTTGGCACTTGGGTCTTGCCCATCGACTATTGCTCGTCCTGTACTTTCAGCCACTGTTAAGGTTGGTCCACTAGGCGAAAAAGGCAAAAAGGAAAGGGTTAGGGTAAGGAAGAGAGTTGTTGATGAGCTTGTAGGCAATAATTTGACAAGGGAAAGAGTTTGTAATAAGCTAGAATGAGGCTTGTGTTATCTAGGCTTGTGTTTGCTAGAAGAGTGCTATAATTTCAAAATAAAGCTCTTTAGTGAGTGATGATCAATGAGCGAGAATCAAAGCTTCCTACCCCTTGCTGTCTTGCTTTAATACTTGTATTATGCTGTAGGCCATTATGACTAGCCTTATTTTAGATCAAAATTCATACTTTATCTTCACATTATTTTCAAACAACTTAAACAAACCGCCTACGCTTATTAGGGTGTAATATTACAACTCACATATCAAAAATCATTAGCAGGGATACTAAGAACAAAACTATGCTAGATTGCTACAGATCAATATGTTTTACCAAATCAGAGAACAAAATTTTAGACCACAGGAAACTACATACATAAAAAAATGCAGCTGCATATGAGATATATAAGTGAAGTTAGTAAGATTGTGTAGCTTAGAAGTAGATTATATTGCTTAGGTCCCTATAAGGTTCACTTTTTAAGAGTTCTATAAAATTATACCAGACAACAAAAGATAAGCCGTAAATTCCAGGGGCTTCATATACAAGGATATATGTAAAATTCAGTTTTTGAGTTCAAGGGTGGGTCAGATTGCAAGAATAAACTGCACCAATTGGATACGAATTTTGAGGCGATTCTAGTTGCAGTAGTTAGAATAGGATATCTAGTGTTAAGGAAAAATATCAGAAAAATTGACTAAAAATAATTTACAGGGTTTTAAGTCAATTTTTGTCAAGTGGTACAGCTGGAAAATCTGATAAGCATGTTCTGCTAGCAAGGGTTGTTTTCCTTGAAGTTTTATGCAATTTCTTAGCTTTGTTTTATACGTTTTTCTCACATAGTTGTAACCTATTTAAAGGCCTAAATTCATCAATAATATTAAGTTTTTCAGTCATCTAAAACCCCCACCCCAACAAATCAGCATCCGAGTTTGAATCATTACATCATCCTCAATCCCTCATGAGAGGATTGTTGAAGGGAAACCTTAGAGAGTCATGGCCTAGGCCACTATTTTGAGAGTGATAGGATAAAGCTATTAACCTATCCTTTTGTAACCTTTCAGCTGTTATCGATCAAAATTCGAGCTGTAATCTTTATTTACTTGCATTATTAAATCAGAATTAGAAACCCAAAAAATCCAATCCATTACACCCTACAACCTTTTCACTCAAAAGCAGCAGGATTATTCAACACTTTAACGTTAAAGGGCATCAAAACAAGCATACAGCATGCAATATGCTAGGATTTGGATATGAAAACAGGGTATGCAAGCAAAAACAAAGAAATTGAAGATAGCAGCTAAGGGATAAGTGTATTGCAACCAGAGTAATCACAATACAGGGGCCTTCTTTCGAGAGGAAGGTTCTCTCCACAACTCACTTCAACAACAAATTCTGGATACTCTCCCCCTATCCCATTAGCACTATTTAATACGGCAATTAAGCCTAACAAACTCAAGCAACAACTAATACAGGGAATCAAAATAACAACCAAATAACAAACTTTTTTTGAACGAGATGTGATGTTATAATGAACTTCTATGGAATACTATAGTTTCATCCCCAAAACACACCTTGGAATTAAGGGTTAGGGTTAGCAATGTTTTTTTAAAAACGAAAAAAAAGGAAAAACCAGAACCCTAAAATTACAAAATTGAAAACCAAATCAACGACAAACCCTAGGTTGCGAAGAAATTCGGTAGATTAAGAAGACCACAATGGCCCAAATCTTACCTCGAAGCTGCTTCAATGGAGGTGAGAAAACTCAGAATGCGCTTCAATGGAGAATAGAGAGCACGAGTTCAATGGAGGAGAGATATGGTCAGAGAAGGAGGTGCATGCAACTGCTTCAATGGAGTGAGAGAGAGCTCAAAAACGGCTTCAATGGAAAAGGTGGGAATTCGGAGGTGGTGGCCTGGAAGAGAAGGTGAGAACGAGGGAAAAAACAAGTAGAAAAATCAGGGGGAAAGAAAAGAAGAAGAAATACGAGAAGCCTGGTTTTTTTTTTAATGGCACCGGTTCAAACCGGTGCCAACTCTATTGCTTTCTTCGATTTTTTTTTATTTTTTTTTATTTGTTTTGGTTGGCATCGGTTTGAACCGGTGCTAATTAGATTAGTTGGCACCAGTTTTGGTTGGAACCGGTGCCAATTCTAAATTTTCCAATCCCGCCCATTTCCTTTGGCATCGGTTTTCAAGAACCGGTGCTAAAGGGGGGGTGCCTATTTCAAAATTTCTACTAGTGATTGCTTTTAAAAATATTTCTTAATGGTATTACTGAAAATATATGGATTACTCTAAGATATTGCCTTAAGTTTGCTTTATTTTTTTTCCAATAAAATTGATTTTCTTGTCAAATGCAAATTCCTTGCTTAGCAATGTGTTCTCTTTTGCAAATATGATGTTAAAGCACCTCCATAGTTGAAGTAATATAACCTCACCACCTCCTAATATATGTTGTTATATGTATTAATGGAGGAAGTTAAAAGTTAGCCAATGATATTGGAATTGTTGAAAAAGTTGTGTATTGTTGTTACAATAAAACTTATATATATATTTTTTCCTAATTACTGAAAATGGACTTGCTAATGAACCTGGGTTATTGTCCCTTGAGCACTAGGTTGTGTGACATTCCTAGGGATGACTCACTTCCTCCGTCCTTATTTAATTGACACGGCTTGACCGCCACAGAGTTTTAGACATTTAGTTGGCTTCAATACTTCGTCTTTTATTTGTATAAGTTGATACTTGGGTACTTTTTAATTGTAGTTAGTGAAGTGTGACCATTACTTTTGTTGGTGAGAGTGTGGAGTAAAATTTAATTTGTTTTGTAGAAGTTGGGAAAAAAACAAAACCCATAACAAGTGACAGGAAATATAAAAATTTAATGAGACCAATCCTTTTAAGAGAAAAAAATAGAAGTGTGTCAACTAAGTAAGGATCAGTGGCGGATCTTCAAAAAATTTCTTTTGGGGGCCGATCATAACTAAATGTATAAGTAAGAAAAACGAATTTATAATATGAGTTTCAATATTTTAATAGGAAATAAATTACTATTACCTGACTATGCTTCGATTTAATAAAAAATCAAATACTTCATCTATCCCAAAATAATTGACATATTAGATTTTTTGCACTATTCACATACAAGCTCTAACCATAGTTCTTAGCATCGTATTAAAAACAAAATTTTATCTTGATATATGTATTTAAATAGATATTAATTTAATGTTTAATGTATCAACATGTAACATGTTAAAACTATTTGCCAATATTTAAGGTTAAACGATTGAACTGACATGTGTGATATTTTTGGTCGTGTCAATTATTATGGGATAGTGAAAGTAGTACATCAACCGTGTGAGCCACTAGCTGCAACACCAACCCCCCCCCCCCCCAAAAAAAAAAAAAAAAGTAGTGATTTGCAAAAATTGCTACTCGTACTCCGTAGTCCATAAAAGCTTCCTAAGTTCTTACTAAGTAAGGCTTATAAAAACTTGGGGGAAAAATACAAGTAATAAAAAAGGGAACCTAGTTTATCTAGTAGGTCTCTGTGAATTTTGTAGGAATTTTACACATCGTTTGGATAAAGGTATTTGGGGGGAAAGGAAAAGAAGGAAAAGGGAGGGATGCAATATCCTTTGTTTGGGTAGTAAATTATGGAGGGGAAGGAAATGGAAGGAAAGGATTTTGGGGGGGGGGGGGAATATTTCAATAATTGCCTAAAAATAAAATCATTCCAAATTTGAAAAGATTTGGAAGGAAAATACATTATACAAAATAGAATTAAATGGAAAATAAATTATACAAACTGAATTTTTATAAAAAGACAACTTTACCCTTTTTTATTAAAAAAAAACCCCAAATTTTCTCTCCTAAAATTGGGGGAAAGTGGAAAACCTGGAATTCTACACATATTTCCCCTAATTTCCTAACCCTAATTTCAATTTTCTACACCAATTCACCATTGTTATTGTTGTCGTAATCAATGGCTTCCAATTTTCGAGCAAACTCTTTCTCCGCCTCTTTCACTAGGCTCTTGATTCCCATTCTGATGCGGAAACGGATATGGGTTAAGGTGTTTGGGTGATGGGTTATGTGTTTAGGCTAGGTGTTTCTGTGGGAACTGGGTAAGGAAGAACGAAGTTCCTGACAACGAGGAACTCGGGGGTTGATTAGCAAGGAACACTCGCAATACTAATCAAGGATAAGTATGGTTAGAGTTGAACACTCACTCTACTAGCCATAAACAAGCTAATCCCGAACACTCCGGATTAAACTCACAAACTCGAATCCACGAGTTCAAGCTAAACTTGAGTCCACAAGTTTAAAGTAAGAAAAATACTCAAAGTAAATTTCAAAAGTAAAAGTTTTCATTCATCAAAGTCTGCTCTATTATAAGCTAGATAAGAATTCCTTTTATAGGCTAAGGAAGTAACTAGTTACATTAATTATCTACTTAACTAAAGTAATTAAAAAGGAACTTAAAAGTCACCAACAAAAGGAAACTCAAAAGTCTCCACAATGAGCAGCCCCTCATTGTAACAGTTCCATGCAAACCGTCACACATTGAAGACTAATAACTGTTGTTGTTCCTTCATGAATTCCTTAACCAGTTCCTTGAGGAACTCGCGGTAGCTGCGCCCAACTTCTCCCTTGTAACCGTTGACATTTTATTACAGCAATTTAATGCTAAGCTATTTACTACTATAAACTGAAAATAAAACAGCTATTTAACTAAGGAATACAAGGCAAATTACTAAGCAATTACACTTAAAAATAACACCCAACAAGAGAGTAACTCTCCCATTAAGAACCATCATAATATGCGTGTAACCTCCCTTAGCTTCAATGCCTTGTCTTTTGTCTTCAAATATTGCTTGTGGACTGATTAGGAATAAGAGAATATTCCTGCTCTATGTTAAGCTCATACGGACAAGAATCCAAGGCAAAAATAACTACCTTGCTTACTCATGCATCCAAGTTACGCATGACTTGTACAATGATGGAGCTATGTTGAAACCCATGCATGGAACATTGAACACTTTGGACCCTCGTAGGAGCAGCCCATGGACAAGAGGAACTTGATTTTGTTTGACCTTAGACCGTGTATTTGGACTCTTTGAACCATTAGACTCATTAGGTTGCACAAGGTCTTGGTCAAGGATCAATTCCGGATCACATTCAATTTTTGTTCCATAGTCGAAATTTTGCTAGAATTTACGAACTGCATAATTCACCATGATTGAACTGGAGATGAAGATTACTTAAACCTTTAAGTAACCAATTTCCAAAATCAAAATTTTCCTTCTCGGGCGAGTCTCTTGGGAGGGTTTCTTCTAGTGTTCCTAGGGTTTTCCATTTCTGAAGGTTTGTTCTTGATTTTCCGAGGCTGTGAGGATGGAAGGCTCAAGCAATGAGATTAGCAACAATAATGATCGTGGGAATTCAAATGAGGCTGTAGAGTAAGAGGTGGAGTGGAGTGTTGACGGGGAAGAAAATGAGGAAGACAAGGTGGAGTTAGGGGTCGTTGGTCGAATCTGGACTGAACGACATGTTAATGCTAATGCTTTGATGACTACTATGAAGCGAATTTGGAATCCTAAGTACGGAATGGAGGCAAGTTGCATTGATAAGAACGTGTTCTTTTTTCAATTTCACCATTGGTGTGACAAATGGTGTGTTATGGAGGAACCATGGCATTTTAAACATGCTTTGATTTTGAACAATGTACAAGGTAATTGCAAACCTTCTGATATACCGCTCTTTTTTATTCCTTTTTGGGTTAGGGTTTATGACCTTCCATTCATGGGTAGAAATAATATGAATAATGTGAGGGCTATTGGGGATAAATTAGGATCCTTCATTGCTTTTGATCAGGAAGATGTGGGGGGTTTAATAAATCTCTTCGTATCTGAGTTAACATTAATGTTTGTTTGCCCTTGAAAGACAAAGTGAGCTTGAAAATGAGAGGTGGTGAGAAATCTTTTGTGACTGTGAAATATGAGAAACTCCCTGTCTTTTGCTATGTATGTGGTAAATTGGGGCATGGGGAAAAGGATTGCGATGATCATGGCTCTGATGTTGCATCTTATCGCAAATTTGATGACTCTTTGCGAGTTTCTTCTCCCTGGAAGAGTTCGAATTCAAAGGATAAAAATGATAATGTTGGTGATGGTAAGTGTGTGAGACAACTTTTTGTGGTGAGGAAGTCAAGATTTAAGGAGCAGGATATTAGTGGGAAGGAGTTGGAGGTTGCAGCGCAACTAAAAAAATACATCCATTGCTACCCCTGATAGTGATGCGTGTGGGCTGGTAGTGAATAAGGAGGGTGAGAAAGCTATGGGTCCGGAGTCTCAATTGGGTAATACGGGGGAGATTGATGTGATAATGGTGATTGGATTTTTGCTTGTGTTCCTTATATTGCTACTGATCAACATGGAGTCCTTTTATTTTCGGCAGAGAAGGAAAAAAGGAAGCTCGAGAAGGTTAAGCTGCTCCATGGGAATGATGGGATGCACATGGAAAGGGATAAGTTAGGAATTGTGCTAGGTGGGAAGAGGAAGTTATCTGGGGATGAGGAGAATGAGTCACGATTGAGGAATGTAGAGGTTGTAAAGAAGAGCAAGGTTGACTTTGATAATGAAGTAGCAGAGGTTGGAGTACACCAACCCCGCGAAAAACAATGAAACCTTAAGTTGGAACTGCTGAGGGTTGGGCGGCTCTCGGAAAGTTCGTGCTCTCCGATCATGGTGTTGGAGAGAGCGTCCGTCGTTGATTTTTGTGATGGAAACTATGATTGATGCTCATAGATTAGAGGTTTTGTAATAGGTGCAGTTTCGAAGAGGGGTTATGTCTTAGTAGTAATGGTAGTTTGGGTGGTCTTGGTCTTTGGTGGAGGGATGTTAATGCTCATGTAGTGTCGTTTTCGCTGCACCATATTGATGTAGAGATCCTTAATGCTCATAATACTCCTATTTGGGCGGCTGTGGGTGTTTATGGGTGGCCAGA